GGGGGGGGGGGGAAGCAGGTCCAGACTCTCCTCCTGCAACTGGCTATACCACGTGTATTTATTAATCATCTACTGTGTGGCTGGTGCAATGTTTAGGTGCTGGGTACTCTCTGGGGACAAGACAGGCTCAACCTGACCTCATGATACCCTCACCCCAAGGAGACCCAGGCATTAAACAAATAATTATATTCCACTTATTCATTAGTGAATGCTGAGAGCTCCAGGGAGTCACCAGACTGACTTCCTTGTCTCTTGGACCCTGCTGCTAGCCTGGGTTGGTGCCCTGGACTGTCAGGATGCAGTGGCAACACTCTCCTGCTGGTGCAGGATAAGGGCATAGGAGCAGGCCCTACAGTCAGTAATCTTGGAAAATTCTCCAGGCTCTTCAGGAGCCCTTCCCTGGTCTAGCTGTGGCAGGATCCTAGTGTCATGCCTCAGTGTGTTACTTGCACAAGTAACACCTTCTCTAGGTCCAGGGCCCATGAGTGTTGGGGTCATACTCAGAACCAAAGGACCCTCCTGCTTTAGGCCTTGGGTGATGATGGTGACAACCAATTGGGAGTGCCTTAGCCTGCTCAGGAAGTGCCCCCAGCAGCCAGGTCCTGGAGGGGCACACATACCCTGTCTGTGAGCATCTAGGAGCATCTGTGCATTTCACGTGGTGCCTATGCCCACTCCCACCCAGAGGCCCCCATGACCTCCTCTCTCCATCCAACCTTGTGCAGAGAGAAGGCCCTGCCTTTGGGAAGAAGACAAGGGAAATGGGGAGGCAGAGGCTAGGGGGGTAAGTAGATAGAGCTCCCAGCCCTCTGAAGACTGTTCATTTCCAAGACTCAGGAACCCCCAGAACCTCCCTGTAGCAAGCCTCCAAGAAGCAGAGGCTCGTGAGAACCACTGCAGCTCAGAGCAGGGAGCACAGCACACTCCTCTGAGAACCTTGACAAGGCAGTGACCCCAGAAAAAGGACATGCACACCCTCACAATGTTACCAAAATCTCAGGCCTCCCTACACCCCCAGTGAGGACCTGAATCCCATCATAGGTGGTCATTTAAAAAAACTGGATAAAAGAGCTTACCTGGGACAGTGTCAAGAAAAGACAGAAAGGAAACAAGACAAAGATGCCCACTCACAGCTATTATTGAATATAGTGTTGGAAGTCCTAGCCACTGCAAGCAGACAAGAAATATAAATAAAAGACACCCAAATTGAAAAATAAGAAGTAAAACTGTTATTATTTGCAGATGACATGATACTATAGAGAGAATCCTATATATTCCACAACAAAATCTATTAGATCTAATAAATGAATTCAGTAAAGTAGCAGAATGAAAAATTAATATTCAGAAATTGGCTGCATTTTTTGTACACCAATAATGAAAAAGAAATTAAGATAACAAATCCATACACAATTGCATAAAAAAGAATAAAATACCTAGGAATAAATTTAACCAAGGAAGTAAAAGATCTATACTCAGAAAACTATAAGAAATTGAAAAAAGAGATTGAAGAAACACAAATAAATGGTAGCATATACTGTGCTCATGAGTAAGAAGAATTAACATCATTAAAATGTCCATATTAGCCAAAGTGATCTATAGATTCAATGCAACCCCTAACAAAATACCAAGGGCATTTTTCACAGAACTAGAACAAATAATCCAAAAATGTATATGGAACCACAAAAGACACAAATAGCCACAGCAATCTTAAGAAAGAAGAACAAAGTTGGAGGGACCACATTACCTATACTATAAAGCTATAATAATTAAAACAGCATGGTACTGGCAAAAAAGGGACACATAGATCAATGAAACAGAATACATAGCCTAGAAATAAACCCACACCTATATGGTCAATAATCTATGACAAAGGAGGCAAGAACATACAATGGGGTAAAGACAGTTTATTCAATTAATAGTGTTGAGAAAACTGGACAGATACATGCAAAAAAATGAAATTAGATCACTTTCTTACACCATATGCAAGAATAACCTCAAAATAGATTATAAAGTCTTAAATGTAAGACCTGAAACCATAAAACTCCTAAAAGACAACATAGGCAATAAAGTCTTTGACATTGGTTTTAGCAATATTTTAAAAAAATATGTCTCCTCAGGCAAGAGAAACAAAAGCAAACATAAACAAATGTAACTACATCAAACTTAAAAGCTTTTGTGCTATAAAGAAAATCACCAACAAAAGGAAAAGACAACCTATTGAATGGGAGAGGATATTATAAATGATACACTTGATAAGGGGTTAATATCTATATATATAGAGTTCAACATCAAAAATACAAACAATCTGATTAAAAAATGGGCAGTGGACATATATAGACATTTCTCCAAAGAGGACATACAGATGGCCAATAGACATATGAAAAGATGCTCAATGTCACTAATCATCATGGAAATGAAAATTAAAACTACATAAGCTATCACCTCACACCTGTAAGAATGACTATAATCAATAATCAACAAGTGTTGGTGAGGATGTGGAGAAAAGGGAACACTTGTGCACTGTTTGTTGGTAGGAATGCAGATCAGTATAGCCACTGTGGAAAACAATATGGAGTATCCTCAAAAAACTAAAAATAGAACTACCATATGGCCCAGGAATTCCACTTCTAGATATTTATTTATTTGAAGAAACCCAAAACACTAATTCAAAAAGATATATGCACACCTATGTTCACTGCAACATTGTTTACAATAACCAGGATATGAAAACAACCTAAGCACCCATCAATAGATAACTGGATAAATAAGGTGTGGTACATATATGCAATGGAATATTACTTGGCCATAAAAAAGAATGAAATCTTGCTATGTACGACAACATGGATAGAACTAGATGGTATATGCTAAGTGAAATAAGTCAGAGAAATACAAGTACCATATGGTTTCACTTATATGTGGAATCTAAAGAACAAAATAAAGGAACAAACAAAACAGAAGCAAACTTATAGATCCAGAGAACAAACTGATGGTTGTCTGATGGGAGGAGAGTTGGGAGGATGAGTGAAAAAGGTGAAGGGATTACGAAGCACAAACTGTCAGTTATAAAAATAGTCACCAGAGATGTAAAGTACAGCATAGGGAATACAGGCAATAATATTGTAATAACTATGTATGGTGTCGAATGGGTACTAGGCTTATCAGGGTGATCTCTTCATAAGGTATATAGGTATATAAGTGTCTAATCATTATGTTGTACCCCTGAAACTAATATTGTATGTCAACTATAATTTTAAAATAAATTTAAAGATAAAAAATGAAAGACAGAAGGGAGTGTGCCACAAAGATAAAAGAGAGAGAGGTCCCACGGGGTGGAGGAGAGGGAGGGAATGAGAGAGGCTGCTGTCTGGGGCAGCCAGAAACCAGGTGGGGTGGGGAGGAGTAGGGGGTAATGGCTGGGAAGTGAGCAAAGGGAGGAATTGGAGTTGCAAGTGTAGACAACCTTAAGGAAGCAGGGCAGTGAGGCAGGGCACACACCAGCGTCAACAAGCTCTGCTCCTCCCAGCCACCACCCTGCTGGCTTTAACCCCCCCTCCCCCCCACATCCAGCCCAAAGGGCAGGAGTGTGCAATAGGTGCTGTACCTGCACAGCCTGTGCTAGCAAAAGGCCTTACCATGCGTGCCAGGTGAGACTGTGTGTCCATTCCCAGCCCATTGCTCCACAAACCGTGGGGGGAGGGGGGCTGCCCTGTATTCTCCCCAAACTCCTCCCGCTGTCCAGTCCCTGCTCTGCACCTTTGCATCCCCTCTCCCATTCACTGGCAATGCCTTTCACCCCAGTCTCTGCCTGTTAAAGCCAAGTCTTTCAAGACTTGACTCCACCAAGCAGCCTTTCCTAAGGCAGGTAAGCAGCATCGACCTCTATTTATTTAGCTTTTAGCACTTTTGGCTTCAAGGGGTGACCCCAGTGTCTGCCTCTTGCTTCATTTTTCTTTTTCTTTTCTTTTCTTTTTCTTTTTTTTTTAACCTTTATGACTCCAGTTCAGTCCAGGGCTGAGCCAGGCACAGGGAGAGGGATGAATTAGCCCAGCACTGCCCTACTGGAACTCACATATACAGGGGTACCACTTCACATAGTTGGGGAGTGGCTGGGTGGGCTGGATCAGGATGGGTCCTCAGGGAGGCAGGCTGGCTGGGCCCATGCAGGTGATAATCTGAGTGGGCATGAGTGGGTCAACCTCTGAGGGATGGCTCATTGCCCATCAGAGGAGGCTGGAGCAAGGATCTGCTGGGGCCAGGTGCTGAGAGAAGGTTAGTGTGGGGTTCTGAGAGGGTGCTGCTGGGGAAAGGCCACAGGGACCACCCTTTGGGGAATCCTCATGCCTGAGGAGCACCCTATAAATCACATATGTGTCTAGAGGCTGGGGTTGGCCCCAACATTAGAGCTATGAGGGCTCCCTGTTTCATATCTCCGTGCTTTCTCCCGTCCTCAGGTTCTCTGGACTGCTGCACGGAAGTCCCAAGTCCACACTGTTGGCAGCCTCTGCAGGTAACTGGGTGTGATGTGGGGGCCTCCAAACAACTGTGACCCTGGGGTGAAGGAGAGGACTTTTACATACCCACACAGGCCCTCAAACTGCTGAGGGGAGAAAGGCTAAGCCAAGTCTGGGGGGGGGTGCTCCAGGGACCAATGTCTTATGAAAGGGGTGGGCTCCAGGCCTCACTCTGCTCTCAGCCTCCACAGACACCCTGACTCCTACCCCCAATCAGAATGAGGATGTCTACGCCGCCGTTGCAGTGCAGGAGGCACCGGGACCCCCCACCCTGCCAGCCCGGGACTACAGGGCAGTCTATGACTACAGAGCCCAGGTGAGGCCCTTGCCCTCTTCTCCTCAGGAGGGCACAGGGATGCCCAAGGGTGTGTTCATAGGTAGGCACATGCACTGTGAGTATGCTTGGGGTGTTTACTCTTAAAACAGCACCCAGCACTTAGGAGGGGCTCTGTGAGTATCTGCTAAGTGAATGTTGATGAACAGGGTACCAGGGCCTGTCTCCCCCTGAATCTGTTCACATGCACACATGTGGTGCCCAGGCAGATATGGACATTGTGTGTGCCCATGTACACATATGCAGACAGGCTGACGGAGCTTTACCTGCACAAAATCGTCCAAGGGTCAAGCTCTGCATCCTCAGGTTAGGGCTCTGTTCTCCATGGCCTTGGGTGTTAAGAACAGCCTATGGCCAGAATAAACCCCTCAGCTGTGCTAGTTTTGGTTTCGTAAGGTCTATGGGGAGAGGATAGGTCAGGGAGTCACAGGGCAGCTGTGCCAAGATCCCTGTAGACTCCAAACTGCTCCCTGCTTTGGGGTGAGGGTTATAGAGCCAGACCCCATATCCATCTGTACTGAGGCCAAGCACCCACTCAGGGCTGGGTGGGCTGCATGACAGATTGCACTGATTCCCAAAGCCCAGTCCCTAGCAGGGGAGACAGGCCAGGAGAAGGATTGTGTTTGTGACAGGGGCTAGCAGAGCTGAGGAAGCTCAAGGGATCTCAGCAGCAGAGGGGAGGCTGTATGTGGTAAGCCTGGAGTGAGAGTGCCCCTTAGACATGGCCATGATAAGCCTGGCCCCAGACTTGCTAAGGTCACTGTGTGCCTAGAGCAGAGTGAGAGAAGGGACAGCAGGGAGGTTAAACAGGGAGGAAGCCCAGGTTTGTGGACACCAATGATGACAAACCAGAGGGGTGGGGAGAACAGGAGGCTGAGTCCCATGTCCCATACCTCATGTCTCCAACGGGTGCCCCAGCCCAGAGAGAGGCCTTGTCCTGAAGCCCCAGAAGGAATGTCTCAGCTGACTCAGCCCACCTAGGACACAAGCTCAAATTTATGGCTTGGGGTGGGGGTTTGCCTGACCAGACCCTCCCAGCAGGCCCCTCCAGTTTGATGCACTTTCATTCTGTTGCCAAGAATTCTGATGAGCTGGACATCTCTGCGGGGGACATCCTGGAGGTCATCCTGGAAGGGGAGGATGGCTGGTGGACAGTGGAACAGAATGGGCAGCGTGGCTTTGTCCCTGGTTCCTATCTGGAGAAGCTCTGAGGAAGGGCAACAGCCCCACCTGGACCCGCCCTGTCTGTGGGGTCAGCAGTCTCCATCACTGCAAGGCTGGGGCCCTAAGACCAAGGCAGCCCCTCAACCCCATGAGTGCTGGCTGCTCCCACAGCAGTCCCTCCTACAGGGAATAAAGGAGTACATTCTTCCTCCTTGGTCCATGGGGGTTCCTTTCTGTCTTACTCCTGTCCCATGTCCAAGTGCTAAATTCAGAGGAGACAAAGGAGTGAGAAGAGAAGTCTGGGAGAGCAGAGTTGCCCACTTCCAGTGAAGCTCTGCCAGGGTTGGCTGGGGATGAAGAACTGAGACCTGGCCTCAGTCTCTGGGAACTCCCAGGTTGCCAGAGAAATACATTCATACTCAGGCAAATGGGAGAAGATGACAGGGGTCAGAGAGGAGGGAGTAGGAGCAAAAAGGGGCTCAGGAGAGTTAGGATGGGAAACCAGGCTTCCTGGGGACAGAGGGATGGGAGCAGGGGAGCCTCTGATGGGCAGAAGCAGACAGGACACAGGGAAAAGAAGATCATCAGGGCCAGGCAAGTATGTGAGCACAAAAAGGAGGCAGAAATGCCTGGAACGTTCTAGGGACAAGCCAATCTCAGTTTGGGGTAGGAAACAGATGGTCCCACTGGAGGTGGAGGGGCCATGGTGGGGAATCGGGAAGGCAGGCCTAGAGGCTTAGAGGTCAAGTGATCCTCACTGGCTCCCTGATCCAGCTGGGTCCCAGGGAAGCCATTGCTGCCTGTGCTGCTCCCTCTCAAACATGGCAAATTCTGCCCAGGCTGGGGCTGAGAGCCTGTGAAGGCTGACCCAGGGCACAGAGGTGGCCATGTTCCTCTTTGGTTCTTGATGTTCTCAGGGCTTTCTCTCTTTGGACCCAAGCCCCCAAAATATAACTTCTACTGTTGGCCAAAACCTGCCAAAACCCTGCTCTAGTCATAGTGGGCTCCATCCTCACCAAAGGCTTTGAGAATGGGTGTGGGGATAGAGCCCGTGGGAACTGGTAGCTCCTCAGTCCTGGGCCTCCCCTATACTTACCTGTGGGAGACCCAACACTCTGCCAGCAGCCCACCTCAACTCAGAGCCAGAGAGACTCTAGGGAGTGAGGTAGGAAACATGGTTTTCTTCACTGGACACACCTTGAAAGACATTGTTGAGGGTATTATTGTCCCCTGTAGACTGTCTTTCTCGGGGGCTGTAAACTACTTTGGTTGTTCATTCATAAAACTTTGTGACCTGCCCCCTACAAGAGCAAGATGAATAATGCCTCAGTCTCTTGCTTTACTCAAGGAGCTCTTGACATGGTGGAGGGGACCAAACAGCCCAGAAAGTTAATGATGATACAGGATGTATAGAGCAGTCATGAGTCTTCTGGAACAGGTGACCTGAGGTAAGCTAAGAAAACAGGGAAGCTGTTCCAAGAAAGGAAAGGGGGGTTCCTTTCCACTCTTGCCTGCTTCTGGTAACCCCACAAAGGGCAGGGAGAGGGTTCATGGGTATAAAAGAGAAGGGAGTGAGTGTCATCACTGGAACGCCCCAGGATTTAGAATTAGAAGAGTCTCTGAAAGAACAAATCTGACCTACTGCACGATGCCCTCCCTGACACTCCTGAATACTGGGCACTGGGCACCCCAGTTGGCTTCAACATCTCTGGTGACAGGGGCCTCATGACACCCATGGAAGCCTGCAATAGACCTGTGGCTTCCCACTGGTCCTGGCTCTGCCTGGGCAGCCATCCACCTGGCAGCCTTATGGAAGACCATCCCAGATGCCCAGGCAAGTTTTAGATGCCACAGGGGCAAAAATGAAGTCTTTGACCAAGCTCTACCCTAGGAAGAAGGCAAGGAGGATGCTAGTAAAGGAGGCTATTCTTATGTTTATAGCACATGTCCATCTTTATGCCCTCAACTTCATCACTTGAGCAAAAAAGTGGGTGTGATTAAGCAAACATGATGTCCAGTACAGGAAGGGGTGGGCTTTCTTCTTTGAGGAGGGTAAGTACCTTTAGACTGTGGCCTCTCACCCCAGTCTCAAGTGTGTGGGCACCTCACAAGGCACAAAGCATTCAGGCTGGGGCCACACAGAGGTGAAAAGGCACAAGGCAGCCCCATGGTAGGACCCTGGAAGCAAGACTCTGAAGCTGTGGACCAGGTTAGTCCTCTGCTAATGTCACCTACCACTGCTTCCACCAAAGGGTGTGTGGCAGACATGGTGAGGAAAGGCTTTGGGCCTCTGAAACAAAAATCATCCTGAGGCTTAAATCCTTCCTGAAATGTCATTTTCCCTCATAAAGCACATCCTATGAGAGCTGACGAAACATCCACACCTGTCCCTGACCCATCTGAGGTTTCTACATAGGGATATTTGGAGAGAAAACTGTAATCTAATGCTTGGTCTTATACCTCCCCAGAGAGAAAGAAGTCAGTGAATAAAGGCATGGCTATGAAAATGCTTGCCTGGACCAGAAATATTGCCCCAGGTATAAGACTTTGGCCTAGATATTTATCATCATCTCTTGACAGGTGCAGGCAGTGTCTATGAGCTCCAGGGGGTGTTGGGTAATGAGTGTTTCATAACACAGCCTGTGATCCATTCAGGCAACCAAAGAATAGAAGTGAAAGTAACTCTTGGGTTACAACTTATTCCAGGGAAAAACACACACATACACAAATGAATCTAAGTCATATCCACTGCCTCTACAGTTTTCTCCATTCTCTGTGTACCAGGTCACAAGCTCAGCTGCTGGGAACCAACCTCATGGACAGCATTCCCAACAGAGTAGATAGTGCTAGCTAAAGGGGGAGCTGGCCTCTATAACTGGGTACATAAATAATCTCAGCCCTCTTTCTGACAGAGGGTTGCTCAAAGACAGAATGGAGCAAGGGACAGCAAGGCCTCTGAAGTCAGAACATCAGGATCTGAATCACATTCATGCTTCTTTGTGTGGTCTCAGGAAAGTCACAATTTCTCTGAACCTCAGTTTCATCATCAGTAAAATGAGGGCAATAAGCCCCAGTGTAAATTGAAACTAGATAGGGGTGGTAGTTGCACAACATTGTGAATGTACTAAATGCCACTGAATTGTCCATTTGAAAATGGTTAACTTTATACTATATGAATTTCACCTCTATAAAAAAAAGTCATTAAATTTTTAAATGTCTGACAGTATATATGGAGGTGTTTACTGCAGGGAAGCTGGAATCAACCTGAATGATCATCCATTGTACATTGGTTAATCATGGTATTAATATATCCATCCAGCTAACAAAAAGGAATGACAAATCCTATAGTCTGACAGAAACAATACTATACTATGTTGTGAAGAGAAAAAGTGAACTTTGTAAAACAGGACTAAGTTAATAGTAAAGCAAAACCACCATCACCACAAGTCTGTTTTGTATATGTGGAAAATACAGTTGATCCTCAAACAATGGGGGTGGTTAACAGGAACTGACCCTAGCCACCCCCAGTCAAAAATCCACTTATAACTTTTGACTCCCCCAAAACTTAATATACTCCCTTGGTATCTATGGGAGATTGGTTCCAGGAACCCCTACAGATACCAAAATTCATGGATGCTCAAGTCCCTTATATAAAATGGCTTAGAACAGTGCATATAGTTAGCCCTCTGCATCTGCAGATTCCCAACCTCTGATCGAAAATACTGTCTTTGATCCTGGTTAGTTGAATCTGTGGATGTGAAACCCAGAGATACAGAAGGCTGACTGTATATATACTGAAAAAATAATCTGCATATAAGTGGACCAGTGCAGTTCAAACCAGTGTTGTTCAGGGGTCAACTGTAGTCTGGAAGGATATACAACACATCTAAACTTGCTTACCTGTGGGTACTTTTTTTCTTTATAGATAACTGTATAGTTTACTTTTTTTAAAGTACTTTTATTCTTGTTAAAAAAATTAGAAATAATTTTTAAAAGACAATAAGACAAGCTCCAATAGATGAGAAGCAAAGCCACTACAGTAGCAATAGCACAGCTAGTACTAGGGAACAGGGCTCCTCAGAGAAACACTGATTCTAGGAATGGGGCATAGTTGGAACACAAGCAGCAACTTGAAGGGGTTCCCACTGGCCAAATCTGAAACTATCTGGGAATCAAAAACAAAATAAAACAAAACAGAAAAAGGACAATAATGAATTATAAACCATTGAAAATATGGGAATCCATCAGTCTATGATGAATATAGATACATAAAAATAAATCAATGTGTGAGAAGGTATGGAGGACAGAGTGATCAATGAGGAAAACTGTTTTACAATCATCATACTAAAGATGGAATCTAAAACAGCAATCATCACAGTAAAGATTGAATGAAGCCAGGATCAGTAATATTTGCTAAATATTGGGAGAAGTTTAGTGAGGAACAAGATATGTATATGGTCTTACAGTATGTCTCCAGAGACTGCTTATGAGCTGGGGTAAAATAGGAACTATCCATGGAGGAGGTGGGAAAAAATGTGACCAGGTATGCCAAGTATTAATTTGTTGCCTCTTAGCTCCAAACTCACCTTCCCTTTCCCTTCCTTGCCACAATGAGCAAAGCTAGGACTGCAAACTCCATTTCTCATTTAACAGCTGGCCAACAGGGGCCTCTGATGGGATGGCAAGGCGGGAGGAGACAATTTATGGCTTAAGTCCCCTCAGCTTTCTTCACAGCAGGACTCTCTGCTCCTACAGCTCGGTGGTAGGCACTTCCTGTGAGTTTATTCTGCAGCACAGGGCAGGGAGCTTGTTCTATGCCACTCCTGTGAGCTCTGACTCAAGTCTTACAGGGCTTGAGTTTCTAAGTTCCTTACTAGCCCCTCTTTCTTTGATCCTCAGAAGTAGCTGTTTTCTACTAAACTGCTTTAGAGTTTTGTTTTGTTTAACCCCTTTTAGTAGCTAACCAATCTTTCACACAGTTAACAATATACTTATATTAAATTTTTCCTGTTTACATTTTCCTCTCACTGGGCCCGGAATGATATACCAAGGTGATCTAAATTAATATTACCATGAAGAGAAGATGGCATTGTAGCCTCCTATTGTGACTGATGCCCACCCCAAGAGAACAGGCAGTGTTCCAGCCATATGGAATGCAAAACCTAATCTAACCCAATTAGAGGAGTTAAGCCTCAAATAACTATCAGTTGAAAGAAGGGACTGTGGATCTCACTTAAGATTCCAAAATGGTGGTGGATTAAGTGGAAGCTACACTGATACTCTCCCAGGACCAAACTAGAGTTACAACTAAAATAGAGAAAAATCACCCTGAATAATCAACTGAAGACTAGCTGGAGAACACCATCATAACCAAGGACCTAAAGTGGAGGCCACACAGAGTGCAAAGGCATGAGAAGGCTGGCTGGACTCCCATAGGCAGCAGCTAAAGTTCTGGAGGGATATCTCAGCTGTGGTGGGTTCCCACTGAGAACTCTGGGGTCTAAACCCCAAGCTGGGCTCCCCAGCCCAGAGCACCAGAACTGAGAAAGGTACCCACATAACAGCTGGCAGTGAAAATTAGCAGGGTTTCTCTATGCCAAGGAGAGATGGCTGGGAATGCACACACCCTCTTAAAGGGCCAATGCACAAAGTTTTGTGTGCAGCCACTCACTCACCTTGGGCTCTGGCAGAGGGAGGGCAGAGTGGACTAGAGCTGTGTGAGGACAATCCGGGGTTGCGAGCTCTGGGGATAGAGCTTGGAGGGCACCCATCTGGATTCCTGTGCTGGGTCATTCCCCCCATACTGCAGGGAATATCCTTCTCTTGCAGACCTTTACCATCCTGGCAACTTTTGCCTGTGTGGGGGTGGAGTGGGGGGAGAATTGGCTCACTCTGTTGGAAAACCTCGAGCCCCACCCTGTGGAGTTTATGTCTTGCTGTGGTCTACAGACTGAGGCTCATTAAGAGAATAACAATCACCCTGCAGGCAGAGGCAGATCTCTGGGTGCTTTGAGTCTTTGCCTGATCTGCTTCTGGACCCAGGTTTTGGAAAAGCAGACCTTAGTGCACATCTTGGTCCTTTCCAAACACACCCAGCCCCAGCAGAGGGAGCCATAAGCTATGGACTGCTGATAGCTCCAAACAGGACACCCAAGGCCTGTCACAAACAGCATGTGACATTGGCCTGCACCAGAGGCCCTCCACAAAGACTGGGAGTCCTAGCAGATCTACCTAATACATAAAAGCAAACCCAAACAGGCAGCCAAAATGGGGAGATAAAAAAACAAGCTCCAAATGAAAAACAAGAGAATTCTCCAGAAAAGCTAAATGAAATGGAGATAAAAAAATTATCAGATACAGAGTTCAGAATAATGACTATAAGAATGCTCAGTGGTGTGAGAAAAGATATGGACTATGAAGGCAATTAAGGATGACATAGTAGAAATAAAAAATACATTGGAAGAAATAAAGAGCAGATTGAGGAAGCTGAGGATCAGATCAGTGAATTAGAGGGCAGAATTGAAATGATAGTCAGAGAATCAAAAAGAAAAAAATTATTAAAAAATAGGAGGAAAGCTTGAGGGAGCTGTAAGACAACATGAATGTAACAATATTCATATCATAGGAGTACAAGAAGGTGAAGAAAATGACCAAGGGATAGAGAATCTGTTTGAAGAAATAATGGCAGAAAACTTCCCTAACCTGGTGAAGAAAAAAGTCACACAAGTTCAGGAGGCACAGAAAATCCCAAGCAAGAAGAACTCAAAGAGGCCCACACCCAGACACATCATAATTAAAATGCCAAAAATGCAAAACAGAGAATCTTAAAGGCAGCAAGAGAAAAGCAATTTGTTACCTACAAAGGACCCCAACAGCTGTCACCTAACTTATCAGAAACTCTACAGGCCAGAAGAGAATGGCATGAAGTATTCAAGGTAATGCAAAACAAGGATCTGAAACCAAAAGTACTCTAACCAGCAAGGCTATCCTTCAAAATAGATGGTGAAATAAAGAGCTTCCCAGACAAAAAAGGGCTAAAGGAGTTCATCACCACCGAACCAGCATTGCAGAAAATGTTAAAGGGACTGCTGTAATTAGAAGAAGAAATATATAGAGAGAAACATAGGCATAAAGAATTAAAATGGCAATAGATAAGTATCTATCAAAAATAACCTTAAATGTAAATGGATTAAATGCTCCAACAGACATAAGGGAGCTGAATGGATATGAAAACATGACCCAAATATATGCTGTCTACAAGACCCACAAAAGAACAAAAGACTCACACAGGCTGAAAAAACACTTCTGGAGGACTTTAAAGGAGAGATCAACAGCAATACAATCGTAGTAGGGGACTCTAACACCCCACTGACTTACTGGATAGATCTTCCAGACAAAAAATCAACAAGGAAACAGTGACTAAATGATACACTAGGTCAGATGGATTTAATTGACATTTACAGAACATTTCACTCCAAAGCTGTAAAATATACATTCTTCTCAAGTGCACACGGGACATTCTCAATGATAGATGACATGTTAGGACACAAAATGAGTCTCTACAAGTTCAAGAAGACTGAAATTATATCAAGCATCTTCTCGGATACACTGCTGGTGGGAATGCAGACTGGTGGAGCCACTGTGGAAAAGACTATGGAGTTTCCTCAAAAAAATTAAATATGGAGCCCTGGCTGGTTTGGCTCAGGGGTTAGAGCATTGGCCCACAGACTGAAGCATCCCGGGTTTGATTCTGGCCAAGGGCTCGTACCTCAGTTGCAGGCTGGATCCCAGGCCCTGGTCAGGGTGCGTGCGGGAGGCTACTAATCAATGTGTCTGTCTCATATTGATGTTTGTTTCTTTCTCTCCCTCCCTCCCTCTCTCTCTTCCTTCCACTCTGTCTGAAAAGCAATGGAAAAAATATCCCCGGGTGAGGATTAAAAATAAATAAATTATATATGGGCTTGCCATTTCACCCAGTGATCCCATTTCTAGGAATATATCTTAAGAAAACTGAAACACTAATCAGAAAGAATTTATGCACCCCTATGTTCATAGCAGTGCAATTTACAATAGCTAAGATCTGAAAAGAGCCTAAGTACCCATCAGTAGATGAGTAGATGAAAAAACTGTGGTACATTTTCACCATGGAATACTATGCAGTTGTAAAAAAGAAGGATCCTTTACATTTTGAGACAGCATAGAGGGCCCTGGAGAGTATTATACCAAGCAAAATAAGCCAGTCAGAGAAAGACAAGTATCACATTATCCCACTGATATGTGGAATCTAATGAACAAAACAAACCGATGAACAAAATAGATCCAGAGACATAGAAGCATGGAACAGACCAACAAATCTCAGAGGGAAGGTGGGGTTGGAGGGGTGGGTGGGAAGAGATTAACCTAAGAACTTATATGCATATATGCATAACCCGTGGACAAAGACAACAGTGAGGGGACTGGGGGGGCAGGTGCAGTGTGGAGGGAATCAATGAGGAGAAAGGGGGACATCTGTAATATTTTTAATAATAAAGATAAATTTTAAAATAATAAATAAATAAATAAATAAATAAATAATAAAAGAAGGGACTGTGTTCTTCCCAAATGTCTATGTAAGCAATTTTCAACCGTAATGCTGCAATAATTTTTAAAACATGCAATACCTGACTAGTCAGGAGCACGGACCACTTTTCCCTTAATTGTCAAATAAAAAAGTGACAACAGTCAATACAAGAATAGCAGTCTGGTGTGAATGAATCCAAATTATAGCTATTTTTATTTTGTCAGATCAGCAAAAAATATATCTTTTGGTTTGCCGCACAATTTTAGTAATTAGTTTGTGTGTCATGATATGAAAGAAATTGAAAATCACTGGTCTATGTCATAAGGTAAAAAACTATGGAAATGCTCCAAATTAAGTAAGAACAAAGAGACATGACAACTAATTCACAGACCGGATCCAGAACTGAAGGCCAAAAAAAGTGGAAATTATCTGCTTCTGTGTATGTCTGCTATACAAGGACTCCACATGCCTTGAAGGCAAGGACAACATCATCATTGTAACCCCAGCATCATGCACAAGTAGATTCTCCACATTTGTGAGATATATGGAACTGAAAAGCATCTGTGGGTTTTGAATGTCAACGCCTTTAGAATTTGGCAAGAGATATAATTAAAATACATGCAAATCATGATGAACTGAAGATGGCACCAATATATAAATCATTGAAGTACTCCCAAATAATTAAAAACTACATGTTAAGGGGTAATACAGAGTTTATTGAATTAGATTTTTCTATTTACAACTGAGATCACATCTACATGCTAGTCTACATGGGTACATTATTTCTAACAAATTTAGACTTACAATGAATGGGCTGGATCATACAGACACATACACACACACTCTAATTGTTTTAAAACAGTAGTGCACACATAATACTCCTTCTATAAAGCCAGCTTTGATTAAAAACCTTTAGTTTCAAAGATCAGTCTGATTTTGAAGATGAACCAAAGTACACTTTGTATGATTCCAAAATCTATTTCAGCCATTTTGTATAGTTGCTGTCCTACTGGGATATGGTATATATATTTTTAAAAGGACACTGCTAAGGGTCACCATCTGGTATTAAGTCCTCCTCCCCCAAAAAACCTTTGGCAAAGAGTTGTCCATTGTGGTCTTTAAGGACCCAGTGGTACTTCAGCAGCAGTCCCATTGCTGCTTGGAGGTAACAGAAGCAGTCCATGTCCTCTTTTAATTCTACCACACTATTGCAACTTGCAAATGGTTCTGAAATTAGAACATATAACACCATCCTTAAAAACTTAGGGACGTGGAGAATCAGCTAGAACGGGAAAAGTCATAAATGAGTAGGAAAGTAAGTGGGCACATGAAGAATCAAGCTGTTCTGTCTGACACATGTGCTTTAACTAAATGAACTCAGGAGGCCAAGAGCAGTGGAACTGCTCAATTCACCTTCCAAATCAGAACAAGACTAAAAAGCACAGGCTTGAGTTTTCTACTATGCATAGGTTCCGCTGGTGATGAGGAGCTCATAAGCAGGATCTCTATTCCTTCTGCACAGTACGATGCATGCACACAGCATGCCCAGCAGCTGTGGGAAGAAAACAATGGAAAAGAAAAGCTGAAAACCCTCATATAGCAAGTATATATTTATTTGTTGGCAATGAAGCTGTTTCAAAGTCCAGTGACCTCAAATCATCAAAAAAGCAACAACAAGAGGAAGAGAAGCAACACCTAATGAATATATTATCCCTTTAGGAACTAAGTACCAAGTTTTAGCTTCCCTCACATCTAAGAACAATTTGTGAAGACAGCAAAGAATCAAGGCTCTCCTGCTACCATCCCCACTCCTAATCTAGAGCAATGTTGTACAAAAGAACTTTGTGCAATGATGGAAACTTTCTCTATCTGAGCTGTCAAAATATGGTAGCCACTAGCCACTGCAACAAAAGAATTGTTTTTTATTTTATTTAAATTAATTTAAACTTAAACATATGTGACTACTGGTTACCACTCTGGACAGCAAAGTTCTAGAGAGCAGAATGATCAAGACTATGTGTTGAGGAAATTTAATGGTGTTCTTTTCAGGCATATGGATTTGGAGGAGACAGGCTTTATAACAACCCACAAAATTCAGTACATGAGTAGCCCAAAAGCTCTATGGTGGAAAATCAGTCCCAATGCCAAATAATAATAATAATAATAATAATAATAATAATAATAAATAATAATAATAATAATAATAATGATGTAGTATGGTTTTGTTTCTTTCACAATTATTTATTATTTCTTTAAATCCAGGTTTGGCTCTGTGGTATTACAAACATATTACTTTGTAAAGGTCACTCTTCCATCATTTTATTTCAATAAGCCCTAATCCTTCTGTAGTAGCAAATTGGAACTGGAATACTAATAAAATCATGCCACGTTATTTTGGATAAGCAAGAGTGTTAAGTTAGATTTAAGAGAAAACAATTCTAGAATTTTGACTTGGCTTCTTACAAAATATAATATAAACTAACAAAATATAAACTAACAAAAGAGCTAAAGACGAGTAAGTTAATTTGCTCTTCTAACTTTTCATTGAGAGTGGAAGGTCTGTTATTTGATTTTAAAAGGCAGGGCCCTCTGTACATATGAGGTCAATCTAATTTCAACACAATGTACCTGATCCATAAACAGACGCTCACATTCTATCCATTCAGGGTATCTACTTGTTGCTTGAATCCATCAGTTTCATTACATCAGTATTATCTGAGTGCTTACTAGTGCAAAGCACCTTAAAGCATTTTAAAAGTGGATATTGTAGAAAGTTTACTAAATATCTTAAGCCAATTCTAGACATGTTTAGTACTTAATTCCTAAAGCAATATATTTCAGTTCATGGTACAGCAAAACATTCTTAGAACTGCTAAAAAATCAAACACGATTATGTTTCTAGACAATGTCAAATTGAACAATAAAAATGCTAAGCTCAGAAACTACTAATTTGCTAGGGAAAAAAATTATCCCTTCCCTCACATTCCTTTCAGTTGGTTAACTTCTACTAAAGGAGTCAGCATTCTGAAAATGGGGCCTGAAATAAGTATCATTTCTTTCCTCACTTTTATTTAAATTAAGTCAACTTGTATTGATTTTAAAACAATTTTAAAAGCTTGATAAAACCCTGCTCATGCTTGGGAATGAGCCTCTTTAAAAACATTAAGTTATATACAGTAACTTTTTTTTTTGGTGATGAGTTCTTTTGAGTTCTTTATAAATTTTGGATATGACTCCATCTGATGTAGCACTGGTAAATCTCTTCTTGCAGTCAGTAAGTTGTCTTTTTGTTTTCTTGATGGTTTCTTTTGCTGTGCAAAAGCTTTTAGTTTGATGTAGTCTCCTAAACAATAACTTTTTTTTAATCCTCACCCGAGGATATGTTTATTGATTTGAGAGAGAGGAAGAGAAGGGGGGGAGAGAGAGAGAGAGAGAGAGAAACATCAATCAGTTTCCTCCCATATGCTCCCCCAACCAGGGATCAAATCTGCAACCTAGGTATGTGCCCTGACTGGGAATCAGATCTGCAACCTTTTGGTATATGGGACAAGGCTCCAACCAACTTAGCCACCCATCCAGGGCCACAATAACTTCTAATAGTCCCAATCTCATCACTAAGTATTACACACCCATTTCCAAAGTTTTGGCTATTCTGAAATGTCACTGAGTATTGAAATTTTCCAATAACAGATTTTTGGAAATATCATACAAATATTTTAGGTCCAGTGTTATTTCTTGTAATGAAAGTTTGCCCTATAATATTCAAGTCATGAGAACTAATCTACACTTAGTAGATTATAACAACCAGCAAAACATGATTACTAAATACAGAGGCAAATAGTGATTACGAAAACCATTAAGGATTAAAATGTTCTATGATTCACTACGTAGATGGCATTATGATGAAATTGGTATTGTCATACAGGTTATTTTAACTGTACACTGGAAACATCCTCTTCTGAGAAAAAATTAGGAAATACCTATCAAAAGTCACTAATACTCTGGCTCCTTAATTTCATGCCTACAATTTTTGCTGTAGACTTTGCACACACATGAAGAGGGTATTTACTAGTTGCAGTTTTTAATAGCAGGACTTACATAAGTGCCCTTTAATGTAGATTAGGTAAAGTGTGCCACAAAAATGAAATACTATGCAACTATAGCAAGATACTAATGTTTTTAAAAAGCAAGCTCCAATCAACAAGGAAACAGTGACCTTATACGACACAATAGATCAGCTGGATTTAACTGACATTTATAGAACATTTCCCCCCAAAGCTGCAAAATATACATTCCTCTCTCAAGTGCACATGGAACATTCTTAAAGACAGACCACATGTTATGACACAAAACAAGTCTCTACAAGTTCAAGAAGACTGAAATCATATCAAGCATCTTCTTGGATCACAACAGCATAAAACTAAAAATCAACTACAATAAAAACACTCAAAAACATTCAAACACATGAAGGCTAAATAGCATGTTATTAAATAATGAATAGGTTACCAATGAGATCAAAGAAGAAATAAAACACTTCATGGAAACAAACAAAAATGAACACACAACAACCCCTAATCTATAGAGCAAAGCAAAATCAGTCCTGAGAGGGATGTTCATAGCACTGCAGGCCTACATCAAGAAACAAGAAAAATCTCTAAAAACCTATCTGAACTTACAACTAAAAGAACCAGAAAGAGAACAACAAAAAAATCCAACAGTAAGTAGAAGGAAAGAAATAATAAAGATCAAAGAGGAAATAAATGACACAGAGACTAAAAAAAATACAAAAGATCAATGAAACCAAGAGCTGGTTCTTTGAAAAGATAAACAAGATTGATAAACCTTTAGCCAGACTCATTGAGAAATAAAGAGAGAGGACCCTAATAAATAAAATCAGAAATAAAAGAGGTGAAATAACAACTGACACCACAGAAATACAAAGGATTGTAAGAAAATACTATAAACAACTATATGCAAATAAATGGGCAACCTGGGCGAAATGGACAAATTCTTAGAAATGTACAATCTTCCAAAACTCAATCAGGAAGAATCAGAAAACCTGAATAGGCCAATAACAACTAATGAAATTGAAGCAGTAATCAAAACACTTCCAGAAACGAAAGTCCTGGACTGAATGGCTTCACAGGGGAGTTGTAACAAACATTCAAAGAAGAACTAACACCTATCTTCCTCAAACTATTCCAAAAAATTACAGAGTAAAGACTTCCAATCTATTTTTATGAGGCCAGCATTATCCTAATTCCAAAACCAGATAAAGACACTACAAAGAAAGAGAATTACAGGCCAATATCCCTGATGAACATAGATGCTAAAATCCTCAACAAAATATTAGCAAATTGGATCCAGTAATATTAAAAAAGAACACACACCATGACCAAGTGGGATTTATTCCAGGGATGCAAGGCTGGTACGATATTAGCAAATCAATAAATGTGATACATCACATAAACAAAGTGAAGGATAAAAATCACATGGTCATATCAATAAATGCAGAAAAAGCATTTAACATAATCCAGCACCCATTTTTGATAAAATCTCTCAGCAAAGTGGGAATAGAGGGATCATACCTCAACATAATAGAGGCCATATATAACAAACCTATAGCCAACATCATACTCAGTGGCCAAAAAGTAAAAGTGTTTAACCCAAGAACAGGAATAAGACAGGGTTGTCTGCTTTCACACACTCTTATTCAACACAGTACTAGCCACAGCAATCAGACAAGGAATAAAAATAAAAGGCATCAAATTTGGAAAGGAGGGAGTAAAACTGTCATTATTCCCAGATGGCATGATATTGTACATAGAAAACCCTAAAGACTCCACCAAAAAACTATGAGATTTAAGAAATGAATTCAGAAATGAATTGAATTGAAAAGAAATGAAGGATACAAAATTAACATCTGAAAATCAGTAGCATTTTTGTACACCAATAATGAACTCTCAGAAAGGAAAACTATAAACACAATCCCATTTACCACTGCAACAAAAAAGATACCTAGGAACAAACTTATTAAGGAGGTAAAAGACCTGTACTCAGGAAATTATAGAATATTGAAGAATGAAATAGAGGAAGATACAAACAAGTGGAAACACATAGAGTGTTCATGGATTGGAAAAATTAACATCATTAAAATGTCAATATTACCCAAAACAATATACAGATTCAATGCAATTCCTATTAAATTATCAACAGCATATTTTACAGATCTAGAACAAATATTCCAAAATTTTACATGGAACCCCAAAGGCCCTGAATAGCTACAGTAATCTTGAGAAAGAACAGAGCTGGAGGGATAATAATTCCAGATATCAAATTATACTACAAAGCTATGTAATCAAAACAGCCTGGTACTGGCAAAAGAATAGGCATATAGATCAATGGAACAGAGCAGAGACCCCAGAAATAGACCTATGTCATTATAATCAATTAATATTTGACAAAAGAGGCAAAGGTATACAATGGAGTAAAGACAGTCTTTTCAATGAATGGTCTTGGAAAAACTGGACACATACATGCAAAGAAATGAAA